GCATTATAAGTAAATATTTAAATTAATGGCAGTTTTATTACACCAATATTATTGTATTATCATTATTATGATTATTGTATTATTTCTTATGCAAATATAACATTTAATTATTTAAATTTGATTTTATTTTTACAATTTATAAAATTTTTATCACTTATATAATATTTTTAAAACCCTAATACATCTAAATTTGATTTTATTTTTCAAATTTATAAGATTTTTATTTAAAAAAATGGGATACGGATAAGATATCCGGTTGGTTCGATTTGCATAGGTGCATATGAGAATATCCGAATACTCTTTAAACCCGCATGCGGGTTTAAGGAGATTATGGCAACTCTCTGACACACTAGTTACCCGTCCAACTTGTGTGTATTAAAATATATTTAAATATTATATTTCATATTTTTGTTATTTAGAGTTTAACAAAACATTAATATTGGGTAGATTTGAGGGATATGCATAATTTTGCATATTTGTAGGAATATTAGAAAATGGAAAATTTGGGTAAATTCCCAAATTTTGGAGGTAAGGTGTAATCCAAGAACTAAAACAGTCATTTATAAAACCTTAACAGTAATAAGGTGCAAACCAAAACTGCAATCCAAGAGTAATATCATTACAAATTTCATAACCATACATTAAATAAATAGAAATGCAATCCAATACTATCCAAAACACCATCTGCCTTATCATATTTTAGTCCTATAATAACACAAAATGTCTTGGGTATAATAGTAATTTTGCATTATATGATGTCAGCAATTGGGTCCCAAGTTCTGCCAGGGGAGGTCAGTGTAATTGTGGAAACCTCAGGGGAGGTCAGTGAAATTGTCAGAAACCTCCCCTGAGGTTTCTGAAATTATCCCTATTTTTTTTTTAGTTGGGATTGCATGGATAGAATATTACTTAGAAAAACTTTTGTATAATTCACTGTAGCATGTTTTGTAGTATAATGTATTTAAGATAAATAAGTAATTGTAAAACATGTTTAAGAGCAATTAAAAAAATAAATATTCTTTTAGAGTCATCACAATGATACGTAACACATCTGTCCCACAAATTAGACATCATTGCATAAGTAAATCAGTAAAGGACAGATTCACATGTGAATATTGTCCGGAAGTCTGTAAGTTCAGCCCCACACCTTTTATATTAACAGATCTGAACGCGGTTTGATTTGTTGACCAATAGTACTGAATCGCACATTATTAAAGTTCATCATATTACGAACCGATGACCAACTCTAATTTCTTCCTTTTCTGTACAAGCCACAAGGTCAAGGAGCCTCTGTTCCTTTCCTGATATTCTCAAGTTAAAGAAAAGGACTGAAAATGGCAGAAACAGTTCTCTCTTTTGTGTTAGATCAGCTCTCAATTTTTCTGCGTGAAGAGGGCAGATTATTGGGAGGGCTTCGCCAAGAGGTTCAACTCATCAGCGATGAGTTGGGGCACATGAGAGCTTTCGTGGGAGTGGCAGAAACAATAGAAGAAGGTGCTGATCCCAGGCTCCAAGAATGGATCAAGCAAGTACGAGAAGCCGCTTATGACACCGAAGATGTTCTTGATGAATTCGTAGCTTGCTTTGCTCACCATCATGCAACAGGGTTCTATGGCTCTGTTAGGAAAATTTTCAACTCCATAAAGACTTTGCGAGCTCGTCGTAAGGTTGCTGTGCAAATACAAAGCATCAAGGCCAGAGTAAAGAATATATCTGAAGGGCATCAGAGATACCAATCAGAATTCGGCGGTACTACCCAAGCGGCCGAGTCTCTCGCTGCTGTTAACAACACAACATGGCGCTATAGCAGGGATGATGCACTTCTCGTGGAAGAAGCTGAACTAGTTGGCATTGACCACCCCAAACAACAGCTAATTTCTCAACTACTCGAGAGGGATGATTCCCAGCTCAAAGTTGTTTCTGTGGTTGGCATGGGAGGACTCGGTAAAACTACCTTAGTCAAAAAAGTCCACGAAGATTAGCTATTAGAAGGCATTTCCCAGTTCGTGCCTTTGTAACTGTCTCTCAACCATGCAACTTCCTGGAGCTCCTGAAAGACTTGACTCGGCAGTTACACAATGAATTGAAGAAACCAGTTCCAGAATCGATTGAGGCAATGACTGCAATTCAGCTGAAACAATGTGTTAAAGATTTTCTTCAACAACCTGTAAGGTATGCAATTGTGTTTGATGATGTATGGGATGTAGAATTCTGGAATGCAATTAGATTTGCACTGCCCGAAAATGGCTATGGCAATCGCGTCATGCTAACAACACGAAAAACCGATGTAGCCTCTGCATCTTGCAACAAATCTCAAGATTATGTCTTCAAAATGGCGCCCCTGTCTTTCGAGGATTCATGGACCCTATTTTGCAGCAAGATCTTCAAGGAAAATGGTTGTCCTGCCCATCTAATAGATGTTGCAAAAGGTATACTGGGGAAATGTGAGGGATTGCCCCTTGCGGTTCTTGCAATCAGTGGGCTTTTGGCTTTGAAAGACTTGAATATTGCAGAGGAATGGGAGATGGTTCGACGCAGCCTTGGGGGTGAATTAGAAGGCTGTGGTATGCTGGACAGGGTAAAAAAGATACTTTCTCTCAGTTACAATGATCTGCCCTGCCATCTTAAGTCCTGTTTGTTGTATTTAAGCATTTATCCAGAGGATTTTGAAATACGTTGTGGTAGACTTGTTCGATTATGGTCAGCTGAAAGATTTGTAGGTAAGAAAGAAGGAATGACTGTGGAAGATGTAGGCTACAATTACCTCAGAGAACTGGTCAATAGGAGCCTAATTCAAGTGACCCAAATTTTTTATGAAGGAATCCCCTACGCTTGTCGAATCCATGATCTAGTGCGAGAAATTGTTCTTTCCAAGGCAAGGGAACAAAATATGATCGCAATTACTACTGGACAATACACAAAGTGGTTGTATGAGAAGGTACGCCGTTTGGTAGTCCATAGTAGCAGCAACAACACCGAGCAGCACCAAGAAAGCCAATGTTATAGCTTTAACCACCTTCGATCCTTTATTACGATTGAATCCATGAATCCACCGATATCCAGAGCCTTGTTATGTAAAGCTTTAAAGAGTAGCAGACTGTTAAAGGTTTTGGATCTGAGTGATGAAAAGACATTGGAGGAAATCCCAAATGAGATTTTCAACTTGTATCATCTCAGGCATCTGAACCTATATAGGACAGGGGTTAAAGCAGTCCCGAAATTCATAGGAAAGCTTCGAAATTTGGAGTATTTGGATTTGTGTGAAACTGAAGTCAAGGAATTACCCGTGGAAATCCTGAAGCTACAAAATCTTGAGCATCTTATGGTATACCAAAAAGTTGATTCTTCTGATGACAGTCAAGGATATCATGGGTTTAAAGCTCCACCAAAATTGGGAGGACTTCTTGCCCTACAATCATTAACAACCATAGATGCGAGTAACGGATCCGTAATAGTTAAAGAGATAGGAGCATTGACTCAATTAAGACGATTAGGGATTTCAAATCTGAGAAGAGAAGATGGAAAGGTGCTCTGCTCCTCCCTCGCCACCCTCACTAGTCTTCGGCAACTAAACATTAGTTTAATTAGAAATGATGGGGGTGATTATGAGGTAATGGATCTGAATCATCATGATCAACAACAACATTCTCTTTCATCTTCAATGCCTTCTTCATTTCTCCAATCTCTTCGTATGCTAATATTGCATGGCCGCTTAGAAAAGATGCCGAAATGGATAGCTCATCTTCAAAGCTTGGTAAGAATAGATTTGGATTGGAGTGGCTTAAGGGATGAAGAGGATCTGCTTGAACCCCTCCGCCATTTGCCAAATTTGGTTATTATTCAATTTTGTGGATCTTACCAAGGAGAGGGGTTGTGTTTCAAGGCTGGAGGATTCCTGAAGTTAAAGAAATTGTACCTAGAGAAATTAGAGAAGTTGAAATGGCTGAAAGTGGAGGAGGGTGCATTACCCAATCTCCGCAAACTTTGTCTGGATACACTTCCATTGCTAGAGGAGTTACCTTTGGGAATTCAGCACTCAAGGAATCTTCGAAAGCTGTATTTGTCTGGGTTGAGTTCTCAACTGATGGAGAAGCTAGAGAATCTAAATGAAGAGACTGAAGATTATAGAAAAATTGCACACGTTTCTGAAGTTGTCATTGGATTGTGGACAGATGAGGGATGGAGACTGCACCGGCTGTGGGGGAAGAATATGTAAGGCCTTGTTTGGATTGCGGTTTTTCGTCAGAAAATTATGTCGTTCTCGTTTTCCGTGATCACATTTCCCTATGATCTTTTTCCCTCACATACATCAAATCGTTACAGTAATTTTTCCATGAAAAATCATGGAAAATGCAATCCAAACACAACCTAAATATTTCCTTCCTATTTCTTTTCTTCTTTTTTTTTTGTACGTTTGTTTGTAACTTCTGAGTTTATAATTTGCTTTATCTTTTATCTAATTGTATAAATATTGTGTTGCATAATCTTGTTTATTTTTTTCTTTAATTGATTTAGCCAATAATTTAGAGGTGCCTTAGCATCTTGCACACAATTTCAATATACAATCTAAAACAATAGCCTAAAATTTTGGTACAAAATTAAAACATGAAGCCTATGTTTATACGCTGGTATGACTTAGAGATTGATTTCTCTAGTAGTTAATAATATAGTAATTTTTGGACAAATAATGGTTGTATCAGTCCTTTATGCTCATCCATCTGTCCTTTTGGACAAATTAATATTCTCAAGTAAATTATTTTCAATCATGCCCACTTATTACAGTCATGAAAACAATTTCTTTTTTCCATGAATTGATAATCGAATGTTCGCACTATAATGCCCAATCCACCAAGGTTCATTTTTAAACTAAAAATATTGAAGTTGCTAAAATTGAGAACTTCTACATCACACAGAAGTATTTGTTGATGAATGCAGTCATACTCATAGTCAATATTTGTAAGGCAACACAGAAGTATAAAAAAGCAAATAATAGTGCTTTGTTTGGAAAGCAATTTTTCTCCCAAGAAAGTGTCTGAGATTTGTATTTTACAAGTCATGTAACTTGTAATGATGCCTACAACTGTCAAAATTACGTATTTATATCATAGGATATGCTTGCATCCTATGCATCATAGGATGCTTTTCCCTGCAAATTCCTGAGAAAAATTCTATGCAAACAACTCAAAGGGAAGAAGGTCAACCCAATACCGGGAAGGATTCACATGATTCAGATATTGCCGTATCATGGGTCTGATTCATGTGTCCCTATCCTTCAAGTTGACTAAACCAGTCTGTAATTGTTCTTGTGAGGACTCTAGTGTCGTTCAAAGAAATTGTCTTAAGACCTTGAGCAACAGCATCTACAGGCGAGTATATATCTCCCACTTGCCATCTAGGTTCCTGATTGTCCAACAAAACAAATTTCAGCATAAATGGAGAATAAAAAGAAGAAATTTAGTTAGAGAACAATCGTTGACCATGTCATTTTCTGAATCCTGATTGTTCTGATTACCGTGCCACTTTCCAATTTTTTATCAAAAGTGACTTAAAGATCATGCTAAGTAATACATACACAATTGGCACAAGATACAAGGCGCAGCACAACATGTCAGCATAAATTCCCAGAAAGCAAAGGACTAAAGATTATGATACAAAAGGAGTACAAAGTTACTGCAGCATACCTGTATGCAAGGTGTAATATGAGTTCCATTCAATATTATTTTCTGTAGTTTTGCACCAATAGATTCCACTCGAGGCTTCAGTGTCTCTTCAAGGAGATCAGTCTGATCAATTGCATCAACATTGAACTTGACCTGAAAAAAGAATCAGATAGACTTAAAAGTGAACATTGAAGTTGGAGCAATTCAATCAATTCTGGTACTTGAATAACATGTTCAAACCAGTAATGTATGCTGAACATTGTATGACTTCTGGAAACAGTCAAGATTCTCAGAGGGTGTTGGCCTGAACTCCGAAATTCCTTCAGCAAGCTGAAGTAACATCCATTTGAGGCAGTTTGAGGATTAGAGAATGACCAGAAGACAGAAAGAGCGACAATGCCATTTCACCATTTGACAGAAAAATGATGGAGATATAGACATGTTCAGCCACAAAGGTGGCAGGATTTGTTTTCCAGGTTGGATAGACATCATCATGTAAGTGGGGTGTCACCTGATTAAAAACAGCCGGCAAGTGATCAACAAACTTGTTGACTGACACTGCCACTTCTGGATCGTAATCTGGAATCATGGTTCCAGCAGTATCAAGTAGTACTTTCCATGCATCTGCTGTATATTAGTATCAATGACAGGAGAAGGCATTAGAAGCAGAAAGATGACAATTTGATTCAACCTCATCAGCCATATGTCTTCAATCAAATGAAGCATTGTATCATACCTATGAAAAAAATCCCAATTTGATTTTAAAACCTGTACCAGGATATTTTCATTACTACTTGAAGGCTTGCCTTGGTTTACAGAGATACCTTATATTTGGTAATTGTGAAACTTGGGGAGGATTTAATAAAAGTTTCAAAAATAATAATTTCAAGGTCTTGAATTGATTTCTGTTTCTTGTAAATCATAAAAAATGAAAGGACAAGTTAATTATATGTCACTCTTGTGCTCTATTGCTTCTTCGTGAATAATAAAGTACACGAAACATAACCTGCCATTGTTTGCAAGTAAATATCTCTGTATTCCCTAAGACCCTAGAAATAATATTCTACTCCCTCGACACAAAATATAAGACCGATGTTTTAGATGATCTAAAGCCTGACATCAAAACACTTCATGCATAAAGTTTCTCTTCTTGATAAAGCCCAGTTTTCAAGCATCATTCTGCATCGCATTGTTATAAAAGCTTTATGCACCATTAGCTTGATCAAGGATTAAATGAATACACTACTTGCTTCAGTGTCCATCATGCTCATATCTTCAGGAATAAATGAGAAACAACATTATGTGGGTTATGTGAAGGAAGGACTTAGGAGGACTCGTAGATTACAGCCAAGCATGTGCAGACTCCCCAGTCCCCCCACCTCCCCTCCCACCCCCCCCCCCCACAACAATCAGGGAGAGGGGGGGTTGGGGGAAGCCTCTATGGTTCAGGAAAATAATGTTTAGGCCACACAAGGAATTAACTGTTAGTAAACATTTGCAAAATTAAGAAAAAGAAACCAAATGCAAAAGTACAAATTCAATTATAGTTAATGATTCATTTTCTTTTTCTAATTTCTAATTATTAAGTTTTGTACAAACTGAAAAAATTATTTTTGTTGTTACTGCTACATTTGCTATCTACAATGAAAATGCACATATTAACATTTGAAAGTTGCAATGAAGTACACTCTCTGCAAAATGTCAAATAACGTTTCCTTTTTTTTAGTGTAAGTGGGACGGCTTGAACCTGGGATCTCTCACTTACTCTCCCCCCCCCCCCCCCCAAAAAAAAATAAATAATGTCTCATTTTCTGTTTAATGCAGATATTGTTGAGGCCTCTTTCAAAGCATTAAAATGGAATCAGGACCAAAGAGCACTTGTATGCCTGGGTAATCTTGCGTATGTTTCAAGGCCTCAGAAAATAACATTTGCAAGAAGATTCTCTTTTAGCATATGCATAAGGAAATCAAGGGTAGAGACACTTCAGCAAACTATAGTTCCAAATAATTGGTCTTCAGGAACCCAAAGAGTTGCACAGGACAGGGAATTAGTATAAGATTAAATCAAACTGGTGGTACCTATTCAAATTTTGTCCAATACGGTAGATGTACTCATCCTCCATTACATTAACAGAAGGTTTGTTTTCTGAATAGAAGAGAAAATGAAAAAGGTAAATAAACATTGGCAAGAATGTCACAACAGTCACATGAACTACTCAATAAGTGCAGATAGAAAACTACCCAACCATGTTGAGTGCAGATCGTCAATCTGTGGATAATAAAGTTGGAACCTACAACTAGAAGCTTTGATTTGGCTACAAATTCATGATATCCACACATTAGTAGCTCCACAAGTATTTGTGTTGACACAAATTGTAGGATACAATTTCTACAGCATGCCTTGCTAGTTTCTGAAAAGCCTATGACCTACCCCTCATTCTTGAGCTATCTATGACCATCAATAGAGTTCTTCTATATAAACCACCTCATAGGTAACCAGTTTTCCACTCTGTTGTTTAACACCCTTATACAGAACTTAACCCTAAAAAGTTAAACTAACTCAAAGAAAATAGTTCTACACTATCACTGCAATTTACAATAGATAAATAAAACAGAACAGGAACATTCCCTACCACCCCATCCCTTTTTGCACTCCACCAATACTCATCAGTCTACAACACAAATTCCACCACCTAACCCAAACTACAAGTTAGATCATGGGAAGGTGAGAGCAAAAATGACCTTCAAGAGTCCAAACAAAGCCACGCTGTTTCTCATCAAAGCTAATGTCAATGGTGATTGGATCATGGGAAGGTGAGAGCAAAAATGACCTTCAAGAGTCCCAACAAAGCCACACTGTTTCTCATCAAAGCTAATGTCAATGGTGATTATATTAACAACAAGGGATTGATTTGGCAATTTCTCAGTAGCCCGCTTTTGTAAAGAGCATACAATTAATCCTGGGATTCAAAAGATTTCTATTAGACTAACACAGCATTGATGTATGAGTAGCTAAAGCAACATAACTAATGATGTTTAATTTTAAAAAAGTATTAAGAAAATTAAGAAACCTTTCACTGTGATCAACCTGAGGCATTTCGAGTGAATGAATATACTGGAGACGCTTCCATAATTGGAAATATTTGACTGACAAGAGGTCCTAACTGCATCATAGCATAATACAACTTCAAAAATGAGGAATGTTACAAAAGCAATATTAGTTCTTTGAGAGGCAGGAGACAAAATTTGACACGGATTCTAAAGCAAGGGCTGAGAAACTGGAGCCCTACCAGTTGAACGAGTATAGTAACAACTCATCATATAAGCATATTTACAATCAACTCCGCCTTGGTATATAAGATTTAAAATGAAATTAAGGTTCAAAAACATATGACAAAATTGATCCACCAAATCTCAAGGTATAATATTTATGCAATATCAAAATATAAATTAAACAAACTAGATAAATGTTTAGATCCAAATTTCCATATAATCCTCAATGTTGATTTGCTCGAGTTAAACCATCACCAAGATCATGGATATGTTAACTATAATGTTGTTTACATCGATTCCCATTTATACTGAACTAATTTGTATTCTTGAATGAACGGAAGACCGATATGACTTCACCCTTTGGATGAATAATAATTGGTGAACAGTTCAGTATAAGGACAAAATTACAACAATCACAAATGAACAAAAGTGCGTTAGTTGCTGTAGAAGCCATCAGCAAGCAGAAGCATAGATACTAAAACTCCAAGCAGAAAGATCTAGAAATGAAGTGCAAAGTCAGTAATATGTACAGACATACCATTTCCACAAATATATGCAATCTACTATGGACACTCTTTTAATTTATAAACTGCATATTACACTTTCTACTTCACATTTTTTTCCCTTTATTTTCTGAGTTGCTACCTTCAGTTACCATTTGTCCTGTTTCACTTATAAGATTACCCATTTTCTTGCTCCCTGTAACGTCACCAATTATTTCCTTTCCAAAAAAAAAATCTTCACTTTACATCAACTTCATGGCATAGCTGAAGCAATATAAGTTACTCACAACCCACCCATTATATGAGCATATACTATCTGACATATTATAAAAAATTTTCTTTGTTAATTGACAGTCATAGTATGACATTGATGTGATGGCACCTTTACATTCCTTTATGCATTAGCTTTTTCATGTTTGTTTTAACATTTTCCATCTTATACATATTCCAATGTAAAGGGAATAGCATGACAATTAAGGAGATTTTGAGGATGATAGGCATGTGATCCGACACAACGGGTCATGTATACATCTTTCGACAACTAAGATGTTACTATCCATAGGATTATTGAAGGATTAGTAGAATTGCACTTGAAAAAGGTAATAAACTCATGCCATGGCATGATAATGAAAGCAATCTTAGTAGCTAAAGAGCCCTTCATCCACCAAGTATGCTCTCAGAAATGGCAGCAGCTGGGTAAACGTCAAATATCTACAGGACATGACTTTTACTTCACTGGTGGGGGAGGGCTTAGAGTGCAACGCTTCACCAGCATCTACACTCACAAATCGTAGAGTTCCCAGAACTCAGACAAACTACATCAGTCAGTTGTATCGCTATCATAGATCCTCAATAGAAACCACGATTCTTTTAAATTTACCCTATATATTGGTTTGAAGATTCAGAGAGGCAATGAAAGAATAGGCTGTTTACCTCGTGAAATTTGAGCAGAAATTAGATTTAAGAAGTAGAGGTTAATTAGAGATTAGGAGAGGTAAAGGGCAAAAGAAAGGAAGGAAGGAAAGATGACTACTAAGACTTCACAGGTAAGAGACTAAGAGGGGTTTCGTTCTGAAACTTTCTTGATTCAAACTCACCCTCATTTACAAAAACTAATGCAAGCTATTAAAAAAGTCTAACACAGCAACCTAAAAGCTTTCTCATGTAAAAAAAAAAAAGCAGCCATTCAAGAGTAGAGTCTGTGGCAATTGTTGTCCACTACAATAGTAGCTATGTAGGATGACCATTGAACTCCCAACCATGGGTGGTCTTTGAAAGTCCACCCATGCCTACCCATTGGACTTCCAATCATGCTTTACCCTTGGACTTCCACTACTAGTTTCAAGTACAGTATCATTATCAGGCAGCCAACTACTTACCAACAAAAGTTGCAGCAACAAGCTCAACAGTTGCACACTGAAAATTGGCAAATGAACCACAATCTGAATCTTAAATCAATTCCAGAGCTAAAAGATTGTGAAACTGAAGTTTTTTTTCCTTCGATATATTGATGTCTTTCATGTCCTGCATCACACTAGCTAAGCCGTGGCTACAATTATTTGATCCACCCTAGAGCACCATTACCTGCTTGGCATAGTATGCAGCAGCTCTTATGTCACATGGTCGGAACTAAGAGGGAAACAAAATGCCCTATATACAAATCGAAAAGGATGATTTTACAAACTAATCTTATTATCCATAGTAAAAATGATATATATGAAAGGATACCCAAATCTAAGCAAATTTGTCAGATACCACTGAAATGAATCAATTTGCAGGACTCAACTAGGTTGCAGGTGCAACACCAACTTCTACACTCACGAGTTGCTGCCATCCTGTGCATGAACTCATAGAGACTATTTCAGCAAGTGGCATAACACAGATGCATCCTGACTCACTAAACATTGTTTTGAACTACTCAATCTACCCATAGAAGTCCATTCCCAGCTTCACATATTACATAACAGCTCTTTAGTCATTATGAGCCAGCCAGGAAGAATTGTAATCCCCAAAGGTTTTTGGGCTCTTGAAGGGTGGCCTCCAAGAGTTCATGGCCACAACTGTATAAGAAAAGGAAATCCCCATCCATGTTCCTTGGAAGCCAGTAAAAGCCAGAACTAGGAACATGAAAGAAACTAAAGCATAAACTGCAAATTTTTCCTTCCCCAGGAGCATTGCATGAATAGCCCAAGTTATGGCAGTTAGAGATGAAGGGGGCAAAAAGGGCAATTTTCTTTCTTCTTTTTTTGTGTGAAGGAATAAGGGTAAGTACTGTAAATACTTAAATAAAGAAAGACCTTTAGCGTTGAAATAAATAAAAAAATAGCAAACATCCAATTTAATAAAGATTAATTGCTCAACTTCAACAGCAAAAAATGTTACAAGCCACCATTTTTTATTTTTGGATAGTCAGGATAACAGCTAAGCCCCTTAAATTAGTATTGGAACAGAATTACCTGCTCAAAGTATGGTACTGCCTCTGACGCTGGCCTGTTGTTGTATGATATTATTGCATTTGCCTTCATTGAGAGACAAGTATAACCTTCATTAAGTCAAAAAGTACTAAACACTGAACTACAGTGCATTTTCACACATTAAAGCTGCAAAAGCATAACTTTTTAGCTATATCTTTCTTATCTTAATTAAGTTCAATTTTGGTTAAGCACTTATGAAACTTTGGAAGAAAGAAGGAACCTTGGGTATCTTCTCACAAAAATAACTTCCAGTAAGCACTTGTAGAAGTGCACCATTGCTGCAATTATAGTTAAACCAAATAACGTCAAGGATAGTTTCGTGATAAGAATGAAATAAAAGTTAGATAAATTAGATAGCATTTTAGGCATGGTTATCTATAACGAAGTCTCATCGGAATGAAACTTAGGAGTACTAGCAAGGTTTTTAACCTTGAAGTATTCTTCATCACGCTCACCATTTCAAAGTAAACGTTCCCAGCATTTTGTTAATTCAATCAGTTACAAGTTCCTCCAATCTATCCAAGCCTAACTCGATCATCTTATGTTCAAAAAACAATTCATTGGACAACTATCCCATGTTCAGCTCCAAAACAGCTTTACTGAACCTCTGCTATGATAAAATGAATGTTGCTATGAAGGTTAGCAGCTCCAATACACATTGATGTAAAGATTCCTCAAGAAAAAAAGAGGACACGCCTAACATCCTCAGGACAAAGTATATCATTGAACATACAAACTAACATTAGACAACACAATTAAGGCTTTATGAAGTTTAATTTGTGATCATTAATGCTCAATTAACCTCCACTCACCTATGGCCAACCGAGTAAAGTGGAAGATCAACAATATCATCAGGTGAAAGGCCATATTCTGGCAATTCAGACCCCAAAATCAAATCAAAGCCAGCATGAAACCTCTCATAAATCTCCCTAGTTACTTTTTCATGATCAAATGTCGCGTTATATGGCACCAAGATAATGAAATAGCCTTCATTTGCCAGTTGCTCAAGCAAATAGCTGCCACCACAACAAAAACAACTAATCAAACAAAACAGATCATAAGACTCTATTAGCATTTTAGTTTACAATAGAAAAAATTGAATTAACAACCCTCTGTTCTGTAGTAAACATCACCAGCGCAATGTCATCACAGTTTGAATTTCAATCAAGTACACCTTGTTTTTCCAGCGCAATGTTTCCATCTTCTTTTCCCGAGTTAAAAAAAAATTACTTCAACCAGAGGAAAAAATCTTCCAATAAAAAAAAATTAACGCTACAAGCAAATTTATTTTAGTTTCTGTGTTTCAAGAATTAACTCAAGGATTAATCTAATATAGTGTGTTAAAACTGTAGTTGGACAAGCAAGTAGCCACATATATTAATCCAGAAATTAAATTAAAATGTTCCATCCCAGAAATCTAACAGCACTTCATCAAAATAGCAAAAAAAAAAAAAAAGACATGAAAATTATCAACTCTAATAGTCAAGTTTGAAACAGAGATATTAACGACAGGCGAATATTGATTGACCTGTAAGAAACTTCGGGGACAGCTCCAACAAAAGCACCTCCCAAAAATTTAATAATGGCTTTGGGTTTTTTCCCTCTTGGAGGAGGAATGACCAAACAAGACTCAAGCCTGTTGTAAATTCTACCATTATGATTCACAAAAGAAGTGTTCTTTGGAGCTATTGGGTTTAACCATATTCATTTGGGTCCTGCAAATTGTCATTTTTGAGGGTCTTGCGCAATTCTCAGTAGGGAAAACCCCTCTGGAGAGATAATTGAGGAAAGGGCTTTCTTTAAATTTGTTGATTCTTGGAAAGTTGTTGAGAACAGAAGTGGTGCTAGCCACGGCGGCCATGGCCGGCCTTCTTCACTCGGAGTCGGAGGTTCTAGTTGGGTGTTGGGAGGGGAAATTTGGAGCTAAAAATGTGAAGCGCGGGAGGCAGTACGTGGCATTCTACTTGCGCCTCCTTTGTGTCAGCTACATTTCCTATTTAGATTTGGAGTCTCCGTTTTAGTGGATTTTGTGCATTTGTTTGGTGATAATCGAGTAATTGTCTAATTTCTCCTCTTTTTTTTTTTTTTGGCCTTACGTGCAATTTGTGTCTTTGAGTCCTTTTTTTTTTTTTGGTCAAAAATCATTTGTATTGTATTAGTGTAGTAATCATTTATGTACGCATGTACAATTAAGAGACTACTGATTGTAAAATTTAGATGTGTCTCTATTTTAAGGTGCACACGAACTATATTTCGTATTTAAGATTGGCTAAATTATCTTTTTATTCCCCTGTGGTTTGATACTTTACCACATAATCCCCCTATGGTTTAATAATCTATATATAACCTCTTCATGGTTTGAGTTAAAATATCACCGTTAATTTTTTCGTTAAAACTAACGATCAATAGTAAAAAGTCAAAATCAAACTAATAAATTAACAAATTTATGCTTTTATTACTTCTTTTTTCCCTCCAAACGTAAAAAAGAAGAAATTGAAATAAAAACTACATACATAAGAACTGGAAAATACCATTAAAATTTTGATTTGAAAACCTATAATGATATTTGTAGTAAAAAAAATTGGTATTTTTGTTTCTTATTTATTTGTTTTATATTTCGCTTCCATCTTTTTTGTTTCTTATTTATTTATTTATTTATTTCCCTTCCATTTGTTTTGTAATTGGAGAAAGTTAATATTTTGTATTTTAAATTATAGATTTTCAAAATAATCTCTTCTCTTCCCAAGAGAGAGAGAGAGAGAGAGAAGAAAAAGAAAAAAAGTAATGATAGGGTGAATTTGTCAATTTATTAATTTGACTTTGACTTTTTACTATTAACTGTTAGTTTTAATAGAAAACTAATAGGGACACTTTAACTCAAACCATAAGAGAATTATATATAGGTTTTAAACTATAGGGGCTTATGTGGTAAAGCCCAAACCATAGAGGGTGAAAGGTATTGAACCCTTTAAGATTTGGTTTAGTAATGGTAAATCTTGTCAAACAGTTGCTAACATGATCAAGTTTTTTTTTTTTTTTTTGTGGGTCAAAAGTCATTCGTATTGTACCATTGTAATAATCATTTATATAAGCATGTACACTCATTTTAAGGCACATAAAAAACTATACTTCGCACATAGGATTTTGGTTTAGTTGAATGGTAAATTTTGTCAAACAATTGCTAACATGATTTTCCTATTTCTTTACATAAAAAGAAAACTACACTTACGAAAACAGGTTTGCAGCTTCCAACTATCTACAATTTTTTTGGTTGATCTTATTTACTACTTGGGATAATTGCAGAAACCTCCCTTGACTTTTATAGTAATAGCATTGACCTCCCCTATCAATTTTGAAATAGCACTGATCTCCCCTATCAAAAGTTGGAGGCAATTTAATAGGTAAAAGTGGGTCAATTTACTAAAGTACCCCTGACATGATTTAATTTTACCAAATGAATGTGATGAGTACTTTCATCAAACCCAACAAAACATTTGTTAATAACAATTACACTAAATTAACTATTTCTGCATAGTTTAACTAATTAACCAATTAACTAAATAACTAATAATCTAATTAATTAATAACTAATTATCTAATTAACTAATTAACTAATTAACTAATTGTTAATAGTTATTAACTAATCAAACTATTTCTGCATAATTAAACTAATTAACTAATTATCTAATTAACTATTAACTAATTAACTAATTATCTAATTAATTAATAAACTAATTAACTAATTTCTGTTTATCCAATTAACTTATCTCTATTTATCTAATTAACTAATTAACTAAAGTTGTTGTCTGTCCGAAACTAATAAATTATTTACATGTTAAACTAATTAACTAATTAGCTGCTTAACTAATTAACTACCTAATTATCTAATTAACTAATTAACTAATTATCTAATTTAGTTGTCTATCCGAAACTAACAAACTATTTGCATGTTAAGCTAATTAACTACTTAACTACTTAACTAATTAACTAAAGCTGTTGTTTATCCTAAACTAACAAACTATTTGCATGTTAAACTAATTAACTAATTAACTGCTTAACTAATTAACTAACTGATTATCCAATTAATTAATTAACTAATTTTTGTTTATCTAATTAACTAATTATCTAATTAACTAATTAACTAAATCTGTTGTCTGTCCGAAACTAACAAACTATTTGCATGTTAAACTAATTAACTAATTAACTACTTAACTAATTAATTATCTAATTATCTAATTAATTAATTAACTAATTAACTAATTTCTGTTTATCTAATTAACTAATTAACTAAAGCTATTGTCTATCCAAAACTAACAAACTATTTGCATGTTAAACTAATTAACTAATTAACTGCTTAACTAATTAACTAACTAATTATCTAATTAATTAATTATCTAATTAATTAATTAACTAATTAACTAAAGCTATTGTCTGTCTGAAACTAACAAACTATTTGTATGTTAAACTAATTAACTAATTAACTGCTTAACTAAATAACTAATTAATTAGCTGACTAATTAACAAACTATTTGCATGTTAAACTATATGCAGTACGCATTACCTATTTAAAGTATCGGCTCTTTATAGGTATTTTACTTTCAAACATTTAATTTATGATAAAAATATCAATGTTTGTAAGTAAAATTCAAAAAGTGTTACAAAAAATATCAATATTCTTACTTTCAAACATTTAATTTATGGCCCTATGCCCCTCTCTTTTTGTAAGAATATTACTGTAACACTTTTGAATTTTACTTACAAACATTGATGTTTGTATCATAAATTAAATGTTTGACAGTAAAATACCCATAAAGAGCCGATACTTTAAATAGGTAATGCGTACTGCATATAGTTTAACATGCAAATAGTCTGTTAATTAGTTAGTTAGTTAATTAGTTGATTAGTTAAGCAGTTAATTAGTTAATTAGTTTCACATGCAAATAGTTTGTTAGTTTCAGACAGACAACAGTTTTAGTTAATTAGTTAAGCAGTTAATTAGATAAATAGAAATTAGTTAATTAATTGATTAGATAATTACTTAATTAGATAATTAGTTAATTAGTTAATAATTAATCAGATAATTAGTTAATAGTTAATTAGTTTAACTATTAACAAATTAGATAATTAGTTAAGCAATTGTCAAGCAAGAAGAGGGCAAAATTGGAAGAAATTTCTTATCTCACTTCTACAAAAGTTGTCAGGGAGGTTTCTGCAACGAATTGTTACTGTTCAGGGGAGGTGAATGCAATTTCAAAACCTAGAGGGGAGGTCAGTGCAAATGTCAGAAATCTCAGGGGAGGTTTCTGCAATTATCCCTTACTACTTTTGAGAGCCAATACTAATTACTGCTAGCTCTTTTCAATTGCCAGCATCATTGCCTCTAGTATCGCTAAAGCATCAGCAGTTTTGGCCTCACGCATTCTTCGACTGGTAGTGCCCAAGTGACTTTGAGGATTCCCAATCCATCTCTCAATCTAATTCACAAACCAACTATACTTTTGATGCTGTCTGTGTTTTTAACAGTCAAAATCTTTTGCTGGTCACTTAAAGAATTAGCACAAGCTGCTTGTACATTGCTAGGATTGCTTCTTCTGTGGTTCTCCCTTGCCTGTTTACCTTTAGGAATCCCCCCCCTCCCCACCCAATCTTCTGTGGCTTTCCTGGAAATCCAGAATCTAGTTTGCTCATTATCATTGAAGCAACTTTCGTTCCTACCGTTGTGTGTTGGCCACAGCAGATTCAGAGTCAATGCAATATGCCTCCTTCCTTTTATTCCTTTTGACTACTTCCTAAAGTTGGATCCACCGTACTTGGAAGTTCCATGCATGACTGCTAATCCATCCCATTGTACAAAGACTGCATTCCTTGCATCTTGAACAGAAATGCAGGAGAAGAACATGTGTTCTATTGTTTCAATGTCCTCACCAGTCACCACACTTCTTGCATATAGAATTGCCTTTAACCATTCTTTTTTGCTTTTTTGCAGAACTTCATTTGCGGGGAATATATGGTTCAGACACTTCCATATGAAATGTTTGATTTTGTGTTGATATCAAGTCCCCATATATTTTTCCACAATCCTGCCATTAAACTATTACTGCT